AGGAGCACTCCAATGTGTTTCAGGTGATCCTGGAGACCTCTGTGGCCCACAGGCGGGGAAGTTTGCTCCAGTTTTGTGAGAAATGCTGGTATTGGCCTGTCTGGAGGAGCAATTGGAGCTGCAGGGCAGAGGTGAAATGTCATGAGCCACCTGCAGATGAGTGCTTGGCCTGGTCACCAATAGTTCTGTCAAGTCAACAATGCTACATGGTTGTAGCAAAGTTGTAGAAGAACAATCTTGTTCTTCTATAAGTACAGGACAGACTTGGACAAGTTTTTAAAAAGAGTTGTGACTCTCAAACTAAATTAGGATTTTTTGGTTACAAGCCCAGTGATGCTCAATAAATACATAATTGGCAATAAAATTAGCATAAATAGATAACTAGCAATGCTTAAGTTAATTTACTTCAAGTAAATGATAATATATGAAGTAGGTAATATGCTGAGCAGATCATGGACAGATAATATTTTTTAGTTAAATTTGCCAGTGTGTTCCCAAAGATGGACATTTTAGTTTGTGAGAGAAAAGCAGTTTGGTCTGTTTTTCAATGAGTTACTCAATTTTTTGCTTCCTGCAGCTTTGCTTGCAGAGGATGATAATCAGCTGAAAATTGGACAGAGTACCATGAATATTTTTATTGTCAGTCTTATGGATTATAGCTCTGACTTAATGAAGAAAGTCAGTGTTCCCACAATTTCAATATGTGAGAACAATTGGCCCTAAAACCCAATGTGCTCCCAAGTATTACTTAAAGGAAGAAGTTTGGACAATTTTTCAGGAAAAGCACTCGGTCTCCTCCATGGGTTCTTCTTGGGTTCTTCTTGCTAATGTGATTTCTTTTAGTTCCACATTGTGTGCGTATAGCAGCAATGTATTTTGAGTTGCTTAATTATTCTTCACCTTCTTTTGCCTTCATCTACTACATCAGCAGGCTGTGAATAACATCTAAGTGATTTCAAAAGTAGGATCAGTGATTGCATTGTGCTGCTAGTTTGTGGTCATAGTGATAGAAACTAAAAGTTAAGAAGATACTACTTTTTTGCATTTGCCTTTAATTATCTGTTTTCATTTTGCAATCTTTTTTTTTAAAACTCAAGTTAATTTTAGACTGACAGAGCTCTCCAGATAGACACTGCCACATGTACATGATTACATCAAGCACTTACTGAACCAGTCCATTTACTACATAGCTATATTTCATTAAAATATTTAATATTTCCATAAATTTTTTTCAGATCTTAGCTTTAGTGCTGTGAGCCTTCGTATGAAGACTTTAGTTACATTTTTGTGTAGAGAGGTGGTGCACCTGTAGGTAGAGATGTGTTATGGGAAGCTACCAGAGGCTATATTGTCAGTAAATCTCCACATGAGGAGTGAGTTAACAGTAGCAATTGTCCACTCCACTTGTCCTATCCTAACAGTGCTGGAACAATGTTGTTGCAATGAGAACATCCCTTGGGAGATTTCTGAAGTAATTTACCAGCAGAATATGCAGCAGTATTATTATTGGGAGTAATTAATAACATATTTATATTATTTATATACCAATATAAATGCATGCATATGTATCCAAACACATGTAAAAAATTTGAATTCTCATATGCAGTTATGCAAAAGGGATAATTTTCTGTGTCTATGCACAGCATTGTGAAAAGGATTTCCTCACTTGTATTTAATGAATGTCCAAGTTACAGACTGTGCTTCCAGTCAGGGCACTTCAGAGATGATGTTCAAATGGAAGGCATGTAACTCCGCTCACACTGAGACACAGGGCATTTTGAGTGAGTGTCCCTTTAGAGGCATACATCTTGTTTCAGAAATTTTTAAGCTTTTCTCATTTTTTAAGAGAAATCATTACTCTCTCTTCCTAGCATCTGCCAGATAAAAATGGAAATTATATTTAGGAACAGTAAAAAAGTGTATGTATAGCAAAGGAATATTTTACTTTCTGGACTTTATTTTTTTCTTTAGGTGGTTACATTCAAGGTTGAAAATAGCAACGTGTACTGATGTAAAGGATTTACTAGTTCTCTAACAGATTGTGTTGAGAAGAAAACAACAAGGAGAAAAAGCAGGAAGGGAGTGGATGCAAATTTTTACAGGCTTATGAGTGAATACAGATACACATAATTCATGTTGTGCTCCATTTTACAAGAATTCATATTAGAAAAGTTCAGGCAATAAGGAAGGACAGGTGCTTTAGAACACTTTAAATAAGCTCCTTTTTTTGAGGCTCTGTTGAAAGGAAATTAGGCCTAATGTAAAAGTACCATATTATAATTAAAGTAAGTCCATAAAATAATTTCATTTATAGCAGAGGGCAAAAGTTGTGGGAGGGACCTGCAGATTTACCAGGGTCCATTTCATTGTGTACAGTGCAGATAATAAGTTCCTGTTCTCAAAGCAGCACAGATGGTCAGATAAGGGAACAGAGAAAGAACTAAAAAGTCCAGACATTTGTAACAGACACTAGCAGTGCTTTTAATTTGTGATTCTTACTTAATTTTGAAATTTGTAGAATAAATGCATGGGATGGCCTGCCACTAAGAGGGCTTTTCTGTCTACTAGTTAGAAAAGGATCCTGAAGTTTGTGAACAGCTCCAGAACTGGTTTTAAGGAGGAGCCCCAGACCCAGAAGGGAGTAGGACCCAGGACAGCAGGAGGCAAAGACTTATCTCAGCTGTTGTGTGTGTGAGCTGCAGGTTTGGCTCTGCTGGGAGCTTGGATGCTCCCCTGGTCCTGTCCTGTTGTGGCTCTGGATGGAAGAGGAGCAGCTGTCCCTGAACTCCTGCAGTCCCTCACTGCCAGGCTCAAGGGCCCTGGAGAAAGTTTGTGCATCTCCTCCTTGTGTGTTTTGTGTGAACTCTTGCCAGGGGGAGGGAGGTCTGAGCTCTTGGCCTGATTGGAGGCACGAGTTCCAAATGTCCCCACAGCTTCAAACCTCCCACTCCAAAGTGTGCATGAGATGCATGGAAACCAAAGGAAAATCTCAGCTCTCACACCATACCTTCCTCAGGCTGGAAAAGTAGGGCAACAGTTTTGACTTTGATAACTTTTTTCTGTGAAGAGGAGGGGATGAAATGCACTGAAATTATGGATGAGCTGGGGCTAGAGAGAGTCTTTGCAGTAGCACGAGGCAGTGCCAGCACAATCATTGCTGGTGCCAGTGCAGGCTCCAAGCTGACAAATGCTGACTTCTACAGGGAACACTGAAGACTGCAGAGAGAACTGAAGTTATGCACAACCATAAATATTTAATTCCTATTATTGCATGCTGAGAATTGCAAGACCATCTGCAAAACACTGTAAAATATAGCAGCATAAAATAGATCAGAAATGCAAATATGTTGTAAATATTGGAGGGAAAACAGAAGCATAAAATTAACTCTAAAGTTTATTTATAGCTATAGACCTCAGTATTCTCTTGTGCATTGTGGTGATATTTTGTAATTATACTGGCAGGTAAAAATGACCAATTCTCTCCTGGCATAAAATATGTTGTGATTTAATTAAAGCAGAAAGCTAATTTAAGTGGAATTGAGAAAGACCAAATCAATTACAAAGAATGCTATTATTAGATTTGGAAGTCTAGCAAAATTAGTCAAGTACTATAGCACCACATTTTCTCCTTTTTAATGTAAGAAAAAAGATTAGTCCATCATTGCCTCCAATGGTTCAAGGAAGGTAATTTACAAAAATTGAGAGGTAACATTTTCAATAAATTAAGATATAATAAAATAATCACTTGAACTTCAATAGAATTTTGGCAGAAATAGGTGCTTTTCATTGAAAACAGAGGTAGCACAGCCAAGACCTGTGCCTTTGGTTTGGAAGTGCTATGCCAAATCCTTTGTAAAGCTGCCATTTGTATTCCTCATGCTCCCATTGTGCCCTGTAAGCCAATGGTTCCCCAGAAGCAATGGTTTGCATGAATGATATCTTCAGGCATGACAGGATGTACAACTGGACTACAGAGCTTGGCCTACATCAAGGGCAACATAAGTCACTCAAATGACAGTTATTATTCCTGCTTTCCCAGTGTTTTTGGTTAAAATATATTATTTTTTTTTTCATTAGGGATTTTGCTTTTCCTTAGCAAAAGAAATAGTAACTTGCTTTGCTACTCTTTTTATTTTCAATCAAATGTCTTACTCAGCCATTTTAAAGAGTTCTCCTCCATTGCCCTCCTCCTGACCCTCACAAGATGTGTATCTGGACTGGTGGTTGCTTTTCAAAAACATCAGTATGTTAAATCTTTATTAAACATTGATCAAGTAGGTAGTGGAAGTGCTGGAGGTGCAATTATTATTCCTGAACATTATGATGTGCCAGTCTTCCCACATTGCCAGAGGAGAACATTGTGTCTTCTCAATACACATCCTTCTGCTCTTCCCTGCCCACTCAATGGCTTGCATACAGAAAGCTAATGAATGCTTAGCTGAAATGAGGACATTATCGACTTTTCTAGGTGAGGAAAGCTCCCCAGGGAATAGTTTAATAGGCTGGAACTCTTTACACAAGTTGTATCAGTGTAGTTCAAAGAAGCCCTATGTATGGCCAGGGAGCTGAGGCCTGGAAGGATCACAGGGGCAGGATCAAACCTTTGCTCATCTGTGCTTTGGGGCTGATATTTCTGATATCAGAGGGATGAAGAAATTACCAGAAATTGTGCAGAACAATGCAAGTGGAGCCATAGGATGTATCTGGTGTCATGGCCATAGGCTGCTCTGGAACATGTCCCTGTAGTGGAGCGGCTGCACAGCCCAACTCTCATGGCATCAGCAGGCACAGCAAGGCCTTGAAGTGGTTCAAAAGCTTTTCAGTGCTGGAACTCTGACTGCTTGGCTTGCTCTCAGCAGAAAGTTGTTTGTTGCAGAATGGTGTGGTGATTTCTACCTCTCTAGCTGTGCTATCTCAAACCAGCTGAGGTGAAAAAATCCAAGCCACTGCCCTTTGTACTAAACTGAACTGAGATGTGCAAAGCCATTCATTGCATCTCAGATAACCTCTAGATAAGCAGTATGTTAATTTCTCACGGTTGTCTAATACAGTTGGAGACTTTATAAGTTTCTAACAGCAAAAAGTTACACTTGGCATTGTTATTTATACCAGGCGTATCATAAAACAAGGAATAAAACAAATGAGGTTAGCTAAAGTGATTTTCCAACAGAAATATATCTATACTGGCAAGTCTAAAAATGTCCCTTGATCTCATTTCTCCTCTCCCTTGTTTCCTCCCTCTCTCCCCTCCTTGCTCCCTTCTTCCCCATATATGCAGAGAAGAGGATTATACTGGCAAATATTCCAAGAGCCGACCTTGCCTGAGATGAGCTGACAATAAAACCTCACTGCAGGGGAAGACAACTCCAAACAGGTATTCCCACAAGGCAGCTTAACTCAAATGTCTGTGTGCTTTCACTTTTTGCAGTAAACCTGTGTCAGTCTGACTGAACACTTAAATTCTGAATGCTCTTGCTTCTGATGGGCAGGCTTACCTACCAACACTATTCACCAATTTTGCCATTAAAGAATTTGTTTCTTCTAAAAAACAAACAAAAAAACTCCCGAAGTTTTTGAAGTGCTGTGCCATGATTGGTCATATGAATTAATAAATTAATAATTAAAAAAATAGTGCTTGGAAGTTGATAGATCTTAATAGTTGGCCATTTATTAGTCCAAGCTCAAGAGAATTCTCAGTATCTTTTATCAGCAAAAAAGCCCTTTTCAGTGCAAACTACTTTGCAGCACTCAAGCACAAAGCCAGCCACAATAAAGTAAAATCTCACAATGCTTTAGAAATGAATTTTAGAAAATAAGTGGCAATAATAAATGTTCTTACAAAACCCAAAAATATTTTTCATAACTTTATGTATCTTGCTGAGAAGTTATTTTTTCTAGGCTTGCATGAAATCAGCTAATGGTGTTCTGTCAAGGCTTGGATTTCACTTCAGAAATGGTTTATATTAATTTAAAAAACATTTACTATGAACTGTCTTAATCTAAACTGAGAGGAAATGCTCTTAATTGAAATATCACTTTTTACAGATGGTTTGCCATAGTGCAAAACTGGCAATGAAATAGATTTAATTTAATTGGTGCAACCAGTCCTTTGTGGACTGCAGGAGACAGATATGCATTTTCTTCACATAACCCCCTCTACTTCCATCACCCAAGACTCATTTGCTGCATTTATTTGGCAGGAGGAGCAGGTTTCTCAGTTCAACTCCTGCTCTCCAGCTACTAATCCTTCTGGATTTGTCTGCAATTTCTGCTGCAGATCACCGTCCCAGTGCCCAGGCCAAATGAGCTGGTTCAGCTCGCTGAGCCCTTGCAGGATCCAGGTTCAGGTGTTCCCACATCTGAGATGCAGCTTTAGTGTGATGGAGGCAGCACATCTGTGCTGGGATCCCTGCTCCTACCTGGCCTAAAATGTCCCATTAGGAGTAGGTGTATGAATGCATGATGAAACCTCAGCTGGTATTTAGTTTCTCTTCTTTACTATAAAAAAGCCTGCAGTGGGCAGCATCCTTTTAAACTCCTAAGATTTCTGTTAAATATTAATTTGCCAGCAGGTTCTGAATCTACACTCCAGGTAAGAATTTGTGCATCTGACATTACAGATTAAACTGGTGCTTGTTTCAAGTCACTCAGGGATGGTGGATTTTCCTCTGTCTTCAGTTTACCACATGAAAAACAGTGACATTCTGGACAGTGCTAAAGACCAGACATATTTTAATGTGATTCCAAAGTCCCCCCCAGGCTCTCCAAGGCTGCCCCTTGGGAGATTCCTTGTTGCTGGTGATGACAAAGTTGTATGACACAGTTAGTCCTAAAATTAGGGGAATATATCCACTGTCTGCTCAGAGCTGGCCTTGCTTCAGTCCCTGCCAGGGTAAGAGCTATGGAAGGCTCTTTTGGACTGATGTGAATCATTAATAACAAAATTTATAAGGATGAAAATGATCTATTGAGATTTTTTTATGGTTGGTCCATTTGTTAGTGCCAAGTGCTGCTCAGGCTGGGGCTGGTTCATGGTCTCCCTGGCAGGATCTGCTCTGTGCTGGTGTCAGCCTGGCTGCTGCTCTGTGCACACAGCTCTGGACATGCCATCTACTGCACTCTTGTTTTATCTTCACCCTGAAGAACATGAGGGGGCACCTTGTGTTCACACCTCCCTCTCCCTGGGAATGTGTCTGGGTTTCAGCTCCTCTCAGGCTGGATTGTGCCTGTCTAGAGCTGTGCTCATCTAGAGCTGAGGAAGAGGATTGTGTTCCTGGTTTGCAGAAGAGATGTCACTGCTCAGATCTTCTAGTTTTCATGCCTTTGACCCTTTTCCTTCTTTGGTCTCTCTTCCTACCGGTAGCAACACTTCTAAAAGCCTGAGATGATCTTGTTTTCCTGTACACTATCCTTGTGTGTCCCTTCCAACTCAGAAAATTCTGTGGTTCTGTATCATTGTTTGGTTTGTCATCCTTTAGTTCTTGTGCCAATATCCTGCCAGCCCATTATAACTTGCAAAACTTACAGGTGAAGGGCCACAGTAAAATATCAAAGCAGCTTATGTTAAGTTTCTTCCCTGAAAAGCATTTCCTCCCTGCTTTGTTTTGAAATATTGCATTTTGAATGCTTTTCATGGAGGCAACTTAACATGACCTGCTTAATGGCCATGCAGCCCCTCAATGTTTCCAGGACTTACTGGATGTTTTCAAGATTGCTGGTTTTCCAGGAGAGGATCCAGTACTCAAATCCTAATTTGAGGGCTGATATCTAAAATAGGAACACTGGCATCTCTCAGTTTGCTGGTATTAGTGTTTTCAGAGAGTTTCCTGGCAGTCTTTACCCAGATGTATGGAGGAACTAGACTTGTGGGTATTTATTTGAGGCAATCCCTTTTGGGGCTTTATTCTGCCAATGCCTGTTATTGCTGTTTTTTTCTCTGAGATTTTTTTCTTTTTCTTATCCCTGTCTGTTTCCTCTTCTGTTTTTCATCTGCTTCTCTTTAAATTTCTCCTTCTCAAAGGGTTTCACGGAGCCCTCACACCCTTTGCTCTCAGTGTTCAACCCCAGATGGCTGGTGCTGACACTACAGTGTTATAACTAAACCTGGTTGCGCTAAAACCAAATAAGCAAAATTAAATGCACATTAGCTCACCATTTCAGGATGCCTCTAGACTACAGTTAACATCTCCAAATCCATTAGTGCTCAGCCAGCAGTAAAACACTCTTCATCATATCCCTGAGAGTTGGAAATGCATATTAAAAACCATGTGGTTAAGGCTCCTGATGATCCAAATGCCTCCTCCAAGCCTTGTAAATATGTAAAGTTGTCACGTATTTCATGCTGGTAATTTGTCCTGGACGTGAACTGCCAGTTCTTGCTTATGCAACTTCATTTCAAAGTCACAAAAGAGGATGGGAAGAATGGGGAAAACACTGAGTGAAGGATGATTTGTACTAACCCTGGTGACATTTATTTGTCAGCTGTTGGGCTGCCCTGCCATAGCTGAACACCTCAGGGCTGTGGCAGCTGTTGTGTGTCGTAGCACGACGTGCCCATTTGGGTAATAATCAGCACTAACTCCATGATCCCAGAAGGCTGATCAATCACTTCATTATTCTATACTATTAAGAAACCCATTGCCTTTATAGAAAACCACAATACAGGTTGACCTAATTGGTCCTTTAATGAAAACACCATCACCATTGGCCAATTAAGAAACCACCCTTTGGTAAACAAATCCCCATAACACATTCCACATGCTCACAACAACAGGTGCAGCAAGTGAAGATAAGAATTGTTTCTCATTCTTTTCTCTGATCTTCTCATGGCCTTCCCCAGGACAATGCTTGGAAAGTTGTGCCTGTTGCTCTCTGTGGTGTCTGCTGGGTTTGGGGTGCCCTGAGGACCCAGCTGAACAATTCCAGCACTTACAATGGATCTGCCATTGTTGAGGTGGAGCATGTAGAGCACATCCAGAAACCTGGAGGCAAACGGTAATGTGAGCTCACCTGGGAGCTACGCTTGACCTAAGGTTTCACCCAGTTCTGTATAATGAACTCCAGAGAGTGATGCTTGATAGCTCTTATTAGGAACTGGGAATTAAAACTGATATTGCTAAGCAGCAAATACAGTTGCAACTGAGAGGATTAGAGCAACAGGCACAGTTCAGGGCTGAAATATTCATCTAATTGTTTGCAATTCCAGTTATGCCCAATGCATGAGCTGAATGTTCAGCAGCACCTGGAGTGTTCACTACTCACTGAGCTCCCAGCAGCAATAGTTTCCACAAATTTGAGGGATTGTTTTTAAAGGAGATTCTAAACTCTATGGTGAAGCTGCCTTTGCTGTAACTCCAGAGATAGAAGAAAAAATCCCAAAGTGTCGAATGCTTCCCATGATGTCTGTGGCAGGTGAAACACCACAATTTCCAGCTGAACATTAAAAACCACAAAACCAAAACTGAAACATTTGCAAATAGATACTAATCAAAACCCAGTGACATCAAAATAATAATATTCTTGATAAAGATTTAATTGAAAAATGCTAAGAAAATATTGCATCTTCCTGGACGCTGTACTGGTGCAAAGATGGTAATCAAGTCTTCAGTGTTCTGCATTTCTGTTGGGGTTTTATGCAGCTTTAAAAACCCATATGAACTAGTTTTGAGTGCTCTATGTTTTGCACTAGAGGTTTTCTGCAACTTTGCTTTGAATGTACATACACTTGTACTTTGTGACATACTTTCCAAAAGTGGTGTAGAGGACCCAGTATAATAAGAATAAAATTGTGTGAGCAATTAAAAAAGTGATGGACTGAGCAGTATGTTAATGTTGATTTATGTTGATTTTAGAGATTTGCATGTGATTAAGCAAATTTAAGTGTCGTGCAGAAGAGCATTGTTTCATTTAATCATAACTTTTTAAATGAGTTTTTTTTTCTTTTGTTTTTGTTTTTTAATTCAGTAAAGGCAGTGCAGGGTTAACTAATGAAAACATAATTGCTATAGGTATGATTCATCCTTGCAAAAAGGATATGGATAAGGGCATGGATGTTTTGATCCCTGCAGAACAGAGCAGATGTATGTGCTTCCCATTATCCACTGACTGTGTCACCCTGACTTTCATGTATAGCATGCTGTGTGCTTTGCTGGAGCACCACCTCATTCCCAGGAAATGGTCAGTCACAAAATCACACAGAATGGGTGAAAGGGATCACTAGAGGTCATCTGGCCCAACCTCCCTACTCCCCTAAAGCACATCCCTCAGGAATGTGTTGAAACAATGTGAGTATCTCCAGAGAAGGAGACTCCACAGCCTCTCTGGGCCTGTCCTGTGCTCAGAATGAACAGGAGGTTTCACTTTCCAGACCTCTGGATTCTTGACAGCTTTTGTGACTGCAGAGGTGAAAGCAGTTTTTATAGATTGCTTTCCTTTCTGGGCTTTTTGTCTTTTTGGTATCCCCAAGGCAGCAAGTGTGCTGAATTCAACATGGATCCACTCTGCTTGCTGTTCAAGGCCATGTAGGGTTGAAGGATGTGGCTTGCAAAGGCAGTGTCAGACCCAGAGCTGGCAGTGTGTTTGCCCTCCCTGCTGGAAGTGGCTGATGTGCACTCAGCTGTGCCCTTGTGCAGGTGTGGAGCTCATGGTGGCTCATGGAGTGAGTGCCACACTCAGGATGTCACCTCTGCTGTGCTGGCCAGGGACTGCTGAACCTGACTCAGGCTGGGAGGTCAGTGCTGAACAGCTGGGGAGAGGGAATGTACCCAAGGGATTTGCTTTGTTTTGTTTTTGTTGTACTTACCCAGTACAAAGGAAAATACTTCCCTGTGGAAGCCCATGGGAGCAACTTTCATCTCATCTGGGTTTGCTGTTTGAGATCACATGAACCAAGAAGAGTTTCTGCAAGAGCAGCCCCTTGCTCATGGAAGCAGAGACTCTGGTGGCAGGTTTCACTGAGTCAGTTTGTATGGGGGGAGAATGTCTACAGGCAGGGACATCTCGGGACTCTCGCTGGTCACAGTGACCCTGAGATATTTTAAAAAGTCTCTTTTCCCAGCCCAGTGGTCGAAGAAGGAGTCAGAGCTCTTCATTTCTTGGTCTCAAGGTTGTTTATTGTATCTTATCTATAAAATTCTTTCTCCTGTCCTGCTGAGGTCTGCTCAGCAGGACAGTTCCAGGCACTCTGCCTGCCCTGGGGTGGTGTTATCTTTTTATACTAAAAACTACGTGTACAATATTTACAATTACTTTCCAATACCTGTCACCTATGTTAGACAGTGAGCTTCCGCTCTAAACCAATCTAAAAGGGCCAACATTACAGCAGAAGATGGAAGCCAAGAAGAAGAAGGAGAAAGGCTGGACATGCTCAGATTCCTCCATCTTGCTCTCTGAACCCCCATTCTAAAAAGCCCAAAAATCTATTCTTTCACCCCATGATAAATTCACTATCATTCTACTTAAATTTCCCTGGCTTGTAATTCTTCATACAAGGTTGGTAATTGTTTTTTCCAAGGGCTAAATCCAAGGCACAGGGGTACTGGGCTCTGTGCCAAGGTCTCTGAGCCCCCTGGGCAGGGGCTTGAATCCTCCAGGGCAGCCAGAGGAATTTCCTGGGTTCTGACAGGGACTGCCTAATAATTTTTTAAATTCAGTCATGCTCCTGGTTCCCAGAGGGTGCTGTGGGTGGCACAACACCTTTATCCATTTTCAATGTTGAAATTCAGTTTAAAAGGAGAACAGGTTGAAATCTTATGCCTCTCTATGCCAGAGAAAACACTCTGAGTAAGTTGAAATAGCCTAGTATTTATTCTCCCCCTCATGCTCCAAGGTTTAAAAAGAAATGATAACCTTTTTTCCCCCAAATTGTATCTTGCAGAATCATTTCCAAATTCTGTAGCTGAGATGTAAATGTGATGGATGTGATAGAATTACTGAGTTGACTAACAAGAGCACATTAAGTAGTCGTAATGAAACTTGGACTAATTCTAATTGGGTATACTTGTTTTTTCTAAGTTTTAAACTTATGAATCCTGCCCACACATAATCTGTGTGCTTCACTGATCTTATTCTCCTTTGCCTCTATGGAGAACCTCTGTCCCTGGCCCCTTGAAATGAGTGCTCTGCCACACATTCAGCTGGGCCTGCTCTGTGCAGGCTGCAGCTCTAGGGTGAGCAAACAGAATGGGAGAAAACAACCTGCAAACCAGCAGTGTGCTGAAGACAGAAAGAGCAATTCCCATAAATTACATGTATTTGAGGAATATGTCTGCTCTGGGAAATAAAGGTAAGCAAGCTGAAGGTGGTTCCATGCTGTGTTATTTTAGCCCATATTCAGTACATTCTAACAGCTCATTTTGAGGACCCATTTCCTACCTGATTCAGGTTCAACACTTTTCTCCAAATGCCAGGCAAACTGCAAGTTATATGGAAACACTGACCTGCTGGTATCTGAGGCTGGAGCCAGAGACAGACATGAGTGGCTGTCAACATAGAGATGCAGGTTTACTGTGTGTAATATTTTTTGCAATGGTTCAAAATTCTGAGATATAGAAATAATGGAATTTAATAATAATTGTTAATAATTCTAATGAGAAAAAAATTAAAATAATAAATTTTAATAATTCAAATAAGGAAAAAATAAAGATTACTGATTTTAATGTGATGTTATACGGGAAGCTAAAGGCTTTGATTCTACTATTTTCCCCCACATCTTTTAGAGAACAGGCTGCTGCTTTGCACACACATATAGCATACTAATAAGATATTATTTTCCACCTCTCAGATCTCTTTTGAATTCAAATATACCTATTAGCACCTTTACAACTCAGCTTATGCACATCCCAAGCCTATGTGATTAACTATTTCTACTGTACCATTTGGTGGGTGGCATTGCAAATTACAGAATAAATAACACAGGGAAACAGAGTTTTCTGCTGTGGGTCTTAACACTGTGTATGGAAAATGCAGAGAGAAAAAAAAAAGAGAGAGATTTAAAGTCATTTAGATGTGCATTATTTAAGCTGGCAGGGATCTAGGGCTTGTAATTTTAAGGCTGTGTGTGGGTCAGGAGGGTGAGTGGTGAAGGGAAGCCTTGATAAGGGTTTTGAAGGCTGTTTCAGGAGCAGAGGTCAGTACCATACAAGTCTGTTGGAGGAAATGTGTGTGGCTGAGAGCAGTGCCCCAAAGGAAGGTGCAGGGTGAGAGCTGGCCCAGGACACTCAGCAGGGTGGGCATTGCATTCCCTGACTCCGGCTGACCTATTTGGCTTTTCCTGCTGGAGCAAGATGATGGTGGAAGATGGAGACAGGCTTTGCATGGGGCACTGAGGAAGGAAGAACAAGGGGAAACAAGAGCTTGTTTTGATGTGGCTTGTTTTGATGTCACAGTGAGGCAAATCTGCCTGCATGTCCCAGTGCCACATTTGGGAGCAGCCCCTTGTCTGGCTGCAGAGGGCTCGTGATGTGGGTGCAGAGGCAGTGAACTCACCCTGCTGCTCCTGGTAAACAGCTTCTCCACCAGCTCTGTGGGGGCCTGGGGCTGTCCTCAGCTGCCTTCTGAGAGCAGCTTCAATACCTGAACAGTCTTATCATGTTTTATGTTTCCAGGCAACTTTGAAGGCTGCACTCCACTCACAGGAGGGCATCAAGGGTCTTTCTGCTGAAGACAATAAAGGGTGAGTCAGGTCTGCAGGCTGCATCAACCTAGGGCTTTTTTTTTCATATTATATACGTTTTTTTCCCCAGCAGACAAAAATAAAATATTGGCTTTTCTGAAACATGCAGTTGGTTGGGATGATCCAGCTCTGGCAGTAGATTTGGGGTATGGCAATATTGATTTAATCTGCTGCACTGCTCTCAGAGTCCTGGTGACTCTCCAGCTAGTGTTAAAACTAGCTTAAAACTGAGCTCTCTTGAGGCTTTCCTGCTCAGAAACTTTGGCACTGTGGCTGAAGAGGAGAGGATTAGTTTGTCAGGTGGTGCTGCTGGTTATGTTTGAGATATGGGCCTGCACCACCTACTGCAAGGATATAAAACTGGATTGTTTCTTTACTTCTCCTTGGATTTAGCACCAGTTCTACAATGTCTTCTGGAGGGATGACCTGCTCAGCTTCTCGTTTCTGAGGGCTGGTTTGCACAAGCATCCTTCTCACCCTGATCTCCAAGTGTTGCTTTTCATTACAGTGCAGACAGGGCAGGGACTATGTGCTCCTCTATGGTTACTTCCAAAGGACTCTCCAGAGACTTCAAAGCAGGGTTCACTCTGGTTTCTAGCTACCTGGATGGAACAAATGTTGTTAATTATTTCAATCATGTTCTCAAATTTTGGGGCCTTTTTGGAAGATATTACTCTTTTTAATTTTTTTTTCCTTAAAATCCTTGCTGTTAATGAAGTTGCTTGCTAGGGACCTTTTCTAGGGTACTGCTTGTACTGTCTTTTGTTCTGTAACCTGCTGCCTTGCTGTCATCATGGGCCATAGCCATAGAAAAATGTCTGCCTTTGCTTTACAGTGGTGACGCTGAATGGATTTGACAATGAAGTAGAGTTGCAACATGAGCAACTCCTGAAGTTAGGTAAGTCTGAGAGCCTGATTGCTATTCTAAACTCCATGAGCTGAGTTTAACTTGGATGCTCTTTAGTCACCATCTGGTACAAGACTGAAGCCAGTGTCAACATTTTAAAGTAAATCCAATCCACGACTTCTCACATTATAAGAATAGCCCCATTATGCCCAGCCAAAGGCCCATCCAGCTCAGCATCCTGTTTCTGACAGTAGCTGATAATTAAGGAAAGGGTGTAACTGCAGGGAAAGTATTGAGTGATATTTCCCCAATATGTTCTCCTACCCCTCAGCAGTTTATGGCTTAAAGATTTTCTGATCTCTGTGTTTAATAAGTTTTTGTGGCCTTATCTTTTGTTGATTTGTCAGATTCTACTTTTGCTTTCAGCATCTTCAGCCCTTTGGGCGATGAGTCTAGTAATTTAATGATTCACTCTGTCAGAAAGCACCCACTTTTGTTTGTTTTAAAGCCCTGGCTGAAGATTTCATGTGATGCACCACTATTTTTTGTATTTTGAGAAACGAAATTTTTATTAATCTCTTTCGTGCCACTCATGATTTTATAGAGCTCTAATGAGATCCTAAACAGAATGACTTTTATTATGATTTAAGGCTCTGTATTATGTCTTATGCTTTCTGGCTGTTTATATTCCATTTGCTTTTACTTTATGTTTATTTCATCTTTATTTCACAAATTTAATCATTTTGAGAAGATTATTTTGTCTAATTAAGGTAGAATTAATCCAGGGGCAGTGATAATTTGAGAGCCAGGATTTGAAGGTAGTTTATTTAATCTATGTGTCTTCAAATCCTTTGGATTCAATTTGCCCAGCTTTCATACTGATGGATGCTGTATTAAATTATTTAAATAGATGAATTAAATTTGGAGCAAACAGAGGCTAATGCATTTCACCCTCAAATAACACGCCTCTGCAGCCAGGGAGCTTTTCAGGGAGAACTGAGGAGACAGCAGTGAGCTGGAAGCACTGTATGCAAAACAAGGGGTAAGGGCCGCACAAAAACCCCTTTGATTTATCCTCTAGAACTAATTTGTCGATTCCTTGTGGTCAGATTAGCAGACTGGAGCCAAGAAAGAAACCTCACGGAGATTGACCATGTGAGCTGAAATAATAAGCAGCTGTTGCTCAAGAGAAAGCCCAGACCAGACCTGCAGAAATGTAATTAGCAGCGTGCTGGCTGAGTTGCTTGCATGCCCAGAGCCTGCATCCTGCCCTTCTGGGGGGCACTGGTAATTTTTACTCTCTCTTTTGGAGAGAGCATCTTTCTCACTAAGGATCGGGATGACTGGAAAGGGATAATAGAGATGGAAAAGAGCGGAATATACTCTGCAGTACTCAGGGACACTAGATGGGGATATTTGCTCACTTTGTGGCTCTTGGTATCCCTCCCAGCTTTGCTGGTGATGTTCCTGAGGTGCAGGGAGGGCTGGGGATGTGCAGAGGAAGGGACTGATCAGAGGGGGTTGCACGGCACCTGTGGGGCAATCTAAGCCTTTGCGGCCATTTCTCACTCTGTGGTTTCCATCTCAAACACAGCTGGTCTGTACAGCTCAGAACACCCTCAGGTTTCTCTTCTGGCTGGGAAACACAGCTCAGCATTGTGTGGGACAGGATGGTCATGGTTCTTCCTCTGCACTGGGAGGAAGAAGGGCCAAACCTTTCCTGTTGGAGAGGGTGAACCAAAAGCATGGCAATGTTACCTTTGTGGGCCTGAAGCATTGTTGCTGTGGGTGTCATTGGTGTGTCTGTGAGGGCAAGAAAGGAACATGAAGCTACTTTTTGTATTCCTTTACATGTGTTTGGCTTGCCAAATCAATGCTGTTTAAATCAGGAGACTCCTTTCCTACCTCAGAAGCCTTGGCTGCCCGTGATGTGTGAGCCAGAGTGAGGATGGGCTGCTGGGACATCTGTCTCACAAGGACATGACTGAGACATGGCTGCAGCCCTTGCAGAGCCACTGGGCTAGAGGGGGCTCTGGGCAGTCCAGAGAAGAGCAATGTCAGAAGCACAGGGACTCACATGTCACTGGTACTTGGGACTGATTTCCAAGGTGTCCATGCGATGCAAGACAGAGCTGATGTGTTCTGGCTCTGTGGGACGCTGGTGGCAGTGTTGGTGAAGGCTGCTGCATACATTCTGTGTGTGATCAGGCTGAAAAAAGGACTTTAAGAAAATAAGAAAGCCTCAAGTTCTCTTGTTAAGCTGGTGAGTAGAAAATGAGGAACAAAGGTGTGTTGTTGACAGTCTTCGAGATCCATAAAGGATAGACCATATCTCTTACTAACCATTGTGGGACAGATGTAATAAAAACAACTCACTTGGATCAAATATCTACATTCAGTGTATTAGGAAGAAGCTCTTTCAAATTTTTTTTGTTTGCTTTATTTTGGTTTTTTTTGGTTTGTTTGTTCCCATATTCGCCCAGAGGCACAGGCTCTGGGTAACAACCATTTGTCAATATCTGCTGATATCAGAGTTTGTTTCAGCCTTGAAAATCTTATTGAGTGGTCAGTGAAGCCAAAGAATAGAGAGGAAGCTGCTGAGTCATAGCTGGGTCCCCATGTTTGCTCATGTTCTGATGACTTTAACCACTCTGACATTAAACACTCCCAGTGTCCTCTCTCACCATCTCTGACTGCTGTTATTGCCAGCAAGGAAGTTGTTAAGTCATAGATTCCAGATGATTGGTAAAGTTTCTTCCAGTCCAAACCACTCTATAATTCTACTTCCCAAAGATCATTTGAGGTAAAGAAAAATTAGATTTTCTCCAAGTCCCCTTTTATATTGTAAAATTTTATGAAGTTTAGGCTTTGGTGTATTAAAAGGTATAGCTGATTTTCAGAAGCAACAAATATCCTTTTTTTCCCTACACAGGTTCATAACTTCATTGTACTTCTCTTAAGGCTTGCCCATTGCAGGTTTTGTATACAGCCTAGCATTCAGCATGCAAACACCTTCTGTGTAAAATTAACAACTGATGGAAATGTTTGGCTGAGCTGGTGGAGGTTTTACATTTCCCTTTTCTCAGGATCAGAAGGCTCCCTGAGCTAGATTATTTTCTTGGTTTAGTTTCTCTTATTTTTTTCTCTTTTGCTTTGACAGTATATGTTTAGATGAAAAAAAAAGGGGTGGAAGTGCTCTGTGAGTGACTCCTTTGATGAAACATTAATTGGTATCTACACATGCAGAGGTAGCAAACTGCTATTCTTGAAATAGGATCTCTACCCTTTTTGTGTAAGGGCTTGCATTTCTGAAAGGGATGAATTTCTTAAGCTTATTGTTTTGGATTTTTTTTTCAAGTGGAAACAGAGTTTTCTCCTAAAAAACTCCAGTCTCCAATCCCTGACTTTGGGCTTGCCTACATTTGGAAATGTACCAAAATAACAATTCCAGAATAAGATCCCAGGAGGATTTTTTAGAACTAGATTAAATTAAATTGGAAATAAGAACTCTTATTTTGGAATAAGAGTGTCCGCGTTGGGATTTATATTGAAATAAACCATCTCAGAATAATTGTAGCTATTTTGGTATATTTCCAAGAGCAGACAAGAACTGAGAAATGTTCTGAAATAATTATATTAAAATCTCATGGATGTGATGGATAATGGAGAAAAATGTCAATACTGAGTTAGAACAATTTGGAGTGAATGTGTCTGAGGGTGTCATACACTTGTTCAGTGGGGTTTTTTGAGTTTAAGCAAAAGATCCCACCCTTCACGCTATGTATATAATTTGTTATTAATATTTTAGTAGCAACACTACTGTGCTAAGAACAGTGTTACAGACACAGGTCCCACCTCTGCACAACCTGCAGTCTAGAAATAATCCATTTGCTTTGTAATGCTATAGATGTCAGCATGTCTGTTTTGCAGATAAAATAGGAGTTCTCAACTCTTTATAACACTCCTCCTTTATAACACTTGTTTATAACACTCCTTGTTTGTAACATTTATAGCATTCCTTGTTCAGGGAAAACTGCTACTTTGGTTTAGTTTATTTTCTTGAAGAAAAACAGAAGAGGATGGTTACAAGAAGACAGCAATGATAAAAAACCACTCATTTGTTCTGTATTTGTAGTTACTGTGCCACCCCTCTCTGCTTAATTTACTGTAGGTGGCACGTGAGTCATTATTGGGAAGGCAGAGTCATTATTGGGAAGGCAAAATCCACCATGTGCTTCATCACATCCTGTGGCAGGGAGCCAGTACAGATGTGAAATGAATATTTCACCCCTATTTACATACACACAGGATGTATGGAGTGCTGGGTTAAAGTAACTTTCTCATTCAATAAGGCATGCTCATGGCTGAGAAAGTTTTGTTACCTCCCTGGGTAAGATCTTTTTCTTTTCCCTTTAGGCACTTTCACTTGTGCCTTGACTCCCAGCGAGTGGAGGTCACAGGGATTTTCTCTGTGGCAAGAAAGAGTCACACTCTGTATTTACTCATATTCTAATCTTCCAGGTACTTTCAAGACTATTTTGGCTCCATACTGGAGGTCTAAAAAAAAAGACATGGAAATTCAGTGGCACAATTTCAAGGTTATCCCACAGGCCAGCAAATCCATAATGGGATTTTTTTCTGCCCTTTATGTTACATCATAATAAAAGAAGTTGATACAGTACGAAAGTGAAAGGCGGTTTCTCCCTATCAAATTATCATATCCAGCGTCAACCCTGTGCTTGAAGGTAATTCTAGCTAATCCTTTGTAGCAATAAATATCTATTACATTTATCACATTGAATTTGTTTCCCCTTCATTTCATCCAATTACCTTTTCTACAACTGGAAAATACATCAGAGCTGTCTCAACACATTTTTTATGGATGTTAACTTACTATTCTCTTCTTGATCTTCTGTCAAGATGTGCTTTAATTAAAATGTTCATGTAACTTGTTCAAGTTTATCCTTCACTCCTTCAATATCCAGATAATTGATGGGTTTGCTTTTAAAAGTGGTATAGAGTAGTCCCAAGATCTGGGCTAGGACTGAAATTCTGTAGCTGTGGAAACTTCTAAGCAGGTTGCTGTAATGCCAGAGTTTAGGATGCTGTGGTCAGAGGTCTGTTAGCATTACTATTATAAATATCTTTATCTGGTGTTTTGCTATTAAAATTCCCATAGGAAATACAGATATAAATGGCCCCAGCTGAGGCCATTTATATCTGTATTTCCTATGAGAATGTCCATTTATTATTTATATACAGGTATAAATGGCCTTCAAGTTAAAAAGACATATGGTTTCATAGAATGAAAAGGCAGTTGGTGCTGCTCACTCACTCAATGGCTCTGGGACAGTGACACTCTATCAGTATCAGAGTTATGATGCCTGATGGGTGGAAAAATGATGTGCAGAACTCCATGATATCAGAGGGCTAATTATCTACTTTGTTATATTATATTATACTCTATTACACTAACAAGAGCTATCACTAACTAACTAACAAGAAAACCCGTGACTCTCTGCTCAAGAGTCCTGACACACACACGTGTGGATCCAGTTGGCCAATGAATCCAAAACACCATCACCAGAACCCAATCAAGCAATCACCTCGGGTAAAGAATCTCCAGAACACATTCCACATGGGCACAAACACAGGAGCAGTAAATGAGACAAGAATTGTTTTGATCATTCTTTTCTCTGCATCTCTCACAGCCTTTCTCAGGAGAATGCTGGGAAAGCTCCATCTCTCTCTGTTCAGAGGGCATGTGAATACCACATATCATCTCCTGGAAGACAAGAGGTTTTCCCACTGCTTTCTCATAGAGCCTGAACTCTGGGCATCCCACATGATGGCACCTCAGGGATTTCTTTTCCAATGGGAGTGTTTGTGAAGTTTGTGTGCACAGTGCAGGGATGGTGCTGCTGCCTTATCCACTCATGTTTCTTTCAGCTCCTCATGTTTCTTTCAGCTCCTTACCCCCATGTGCAAATCATGGTGCTAGGCAAGATGTGTGGGCTGCTCATATGTGTTGTTCATATTCAAGACAGGCTTTTTTAGCTGGGGTGATGTGAGGCTAGAAGATGGATTAAGACAGAATGAACAGAATGATTCAGAAATCTGTGGTTGGTAAAGGGTTGTCATTAAATGGGGGAGTTTTAATTGAACTCTGCAGCCTTGGCTGCTTTCCTCCAAACTACTCACCAATCCTGACAGTAACAAATAAGGTAAAAAAATCTTTGTGATATGTATCATGGTGGCTTCTCCATGCCAGTGATGAGCAGTGGGCAGCTGGGTGAGCTATCCAAACTGCTTGGCTCTGCAGTTGCTTTGCTAGGTCTGCACAAAGTCATTGTGAAAGCACGTTGGAATAAGTAAAGAAAACACTGGGGGCTATTTCAGCCAGGTGACCTTGAGAGAAACATCTACAACACGTTACACAAGTGCACAAAACCAGCTCCTCCTTAAGAGAGAGAAAAGAGTAGGTGTCCAAAGGCTCAACCATAGGAGCCTTTCCAGCTATCAGGGTGAAGCTTCTGTCCTCCTTAGGGCCAGCGTGGGGAAACAAGAAAAGGGATAGGAAAAAGGATTAACTTCTTCAAATGTTTTATTGCCTTCTTCTCAGCATATGTCCTTTAAGGAAGGTGACAGAGGAGACTAATTACTGAGGTTAATGTTCTGAAATCCTTCCTTACTCAAGGCCATTTATGTGGTTGAGGAGATGTTAATACCTGCAATCAGTCACAGATTCACAGGGGAAGGTGTGACCTTTTGAAGACTAAGGGGCTTAGCCCCTGAATTCAACAGTCAAGTGATGCCTGAAATCCTCTCTCTTTATTTCAGCCATCAGAGGAATCCCAAAAGGGTTGGTTTCAACAAAACATTTGCAATATGAATGCAAGAAAATGTAAATCCTGACTTAAAAAGGGATGCATCTCCCCATCTGTTCCGATGTCTATTTAGAAACTTTCTGGTTTTAGGGAGATATTGGCAGCTTCTCAGGGAGGATTCCAGGTGGTTGCTGTTCTGCCCTGAGTTCTTCAGAGGAAGGCACAGAGGAGGAACTCGGCTGCTCTGGGATCATGTGCTGCTGGAGAAGAAATAAAACTGCCCTAAGGCAGGCTCACAGCCTAAAGGAAGACCTGGCAGGTGTCCAAAATGTCTGTTCCCCTCTGCTCTCCTCATGCTTCATCAATCACATCACCTGTGTGTCATGGTTGTCAGTGTGGAGAAAAATATTTGGAATGTTCTGGTTTTCTTTTACACTGGCCGGGTGGTTTGTTACTGGGAAAAAAAAAGGTGCCTTTTTATGGATACTAGTTCCTTAAATCAGGAATATCCACCTGGGAAGAGAGCCCACAGAAACAAACCCACTGTAGTAAAAGTCTGTGAAGCTCTGCAATTTATACTTTTTACAGGAAGTTGAATATGGATATGTTAATCCACATTAATATAGACATGGTTACATCAGTTCGACAGAAAGGTGAACCATGTTCAGAACATCCAGTTTTTCATACATGCAGACCTGCTCTGGGTGCCAGGTGAGTCTTTGGACCTGTGGAAGCTCTGACTCCAGAGATTCAGCAGGACTCTTATGGCTCTGGTTGCCAATGACTGCTCCTCAAACAAGACACAGAACCTGAATTCTTCACAGGAAAAGCCAGAAAACCCAAACAAGCCAGGCTTCCTGCTCTTGCAGATGTCTCTAACCCAGCAAGAAGCAGAAGGATAAGGATACAAGCACCATTTATTTCCCTCCTCAGGCCACCTTTGAACACTGATAGAGGCAGCAGTAGAGGAAAAATCCTTGAAGCAGTTAAGAACAAGCCAGAGAAACTCAGCCTGCACCTTGTCTCCTGAAACCACCTCAGCTCTGGAGCACCAAGACACCAACAGAGCCTCAAGTGTCTGAGTCGGAAGGGCAGCTGGGTCAGCATTGGCATCCCTCACCTCAGAGCTGCTGAACTGAACACCCTCACACGAGTCTTTTCCTCTGGGAGGTCTGTGCCACACACTTAATTTCATGTTAAAATATTTAACCATTTTTTCTGCTACATAAATAAACAGATTTTAGCTGAATTATATGGAAAAATACTATTTTCATATTTCCAATATTTTCATAAACTAATATTAGCTATGCCACCACTTGGACTGAGGGCAAGTGTAGCACATTAATAATTTTGAAACATTTTAAATATCAGAAATGTGTAAAATGAAGATTGCATTCAAATTTTTTTCCCACCCTTTTAGCCACCCTCAAAGCCTTGAGCAAGGGAATAAGTGTAGCTTCAAATGGGAACTTTAGTAGAATTCAATTTTAAATTCAGCACTTGCTAATTATATCCTTTCTGTGCTAAAGCTCAAATGCCTGGCTCTCTCTGTGATTCCCTGGCTGTAGGCAGCATTCACCATGTACTTTTCCAGAGATTAGAGGCACTCTCATAATCCTGATTTTGGTGGTGCACCTTCTTTGTTTCTTTCTTACTTGAGGGCAAAACCAGATCTTGCTCTGAGGATCTCTGACAGTGGCTATTCCATGTCTGGCAGTCACTACAATCTAATTCTGCTGGACATAATTACCATAATTTATTCCCTGTAGATGGTTTCTAAAAATAGCAGTAGGTATGATCCTTGCCCTACAAGGCTCACACAAAAGACAGAGAATTAAAAAGACTGGCAGAGAGGGGAGAAAAAGTAAAAGAAGCAACAGCCATGGCAAGTACGCAGAGAGAGATAAATTAAATCCAAATTAGTCCTCTGGTGTGATAGTGAGACTGAATAAGCAAGTTTATTAAGGGGAAAAAATATAATTCAGCTAAAAGATAGAGATGCATGAATAGCTCTGAGAATAACACACAGAACAGCAGTGTCCTAATGGTATAAACTCCACACTAAAATTGAAAAAGCCTTTCCTTTGGTTCAAATCACTTGTCTCTGGTGTCACTCTGTCAGTGTGATCCAGTAAGTAGCTTTGTCCTTCCTTAGGAACCCCATCTCTCTCCTATAACTGACTCTAAAATGCATCATTATCTAATTTCCTTGTCACATCCCAAATTGTTTTTAGAGTCTGTTGGGCTCTCCACAGGTGATGAAAAAGCAGTGAGCACAGCCCTTGATGTCCAGACTCCTCAACAGACCTTGGATCACACTTCACCTTCCAGGCTGGATGCTCTTGTTGCACGAGGATTTCCTGAAGGTAAGGAAGCTATTTTGTGAGGCAGAGGATGCTGCAAACCCCAGACCTGCTCCTTCTCTGGGGGTTTTTCATCTCTGTTAGCACCTGCTGCTGCAGTCTCAGATGTGCTCCCATGTATTTGTCTCCACCCTGTCCCTGTGATGTGTGACCCTGCTGATGTCCTTCCCTGACAGGTGACTGAAAATCTTGCTTGAGGTCTGCAGAGGAAACCTGCATGGAACAGGCTGGAGCCTGGCTCTTGTGTGCTCTCACCTGGAGGGGAGATCATGTCTGGCTGAAGCTGCCACACCGAGCAAGGGGGTGCCCCAGGCATGAGCTCCTGTGGTCACTGAGAAGCCTTACCCCCTTCAACTCTGGGTGCAATGCCCCAGGCTTTGCTGGCTGCTCTTTTGTTTTGCATTTCTACATCTTGAGTGCTTCCTGCTATTTATGGGATTTCAGGCTTTACTCATCTTGTGCTTCCTGCAAGTTCTCTGTGGATGTGTCCTTCAGGGATAGTACGGCCACGTGCTCATGTTTATGTATAGCACATTTTACCTGGTGGGACACCTGGTGTCTGCAGCACAGGGAGTGCTTCTCCCTTCCTTGGCCTTTGGAACAGGCTGCTTTTGGGGAAAAGTCTATGTCATAAGAAAGCCTCCATGGATGGGGAAAAGATATCAATAAAACAATTTATTTCTCCTATTCTGAAATCCCCCTGCCATCTTTACCTGAATATATCACTCTGCTTGCAAGTATATCAGTGATTGACTTGTCTTACAAAGCCATGGAATTTTCTCCTTTCCTTTTGTGTGCAGGAATTTCTGGACAATCTGGGGGTAGGAAAAAGGACGGTGCTGATTTTGCTGTTACATCAAATCACTTGTAAGTGATCACATTTAGGGCTGGCTTTTGTGAGTTGATTTCAGGGTGGGTCTCCAGGCCTCCTTACTGAAAAGCTGCTCCCAATATTGTTTCACTGTTTGTTGCTTCCTGTCTTCCAGGGCAGTGAAACATCTGGCCTGAAGACACAAGCTGCTCTCCACAGTGAGCACGGAGTGATGGCCAGATGGAAATGTGCCACCTTCCCGTGTCCCCTGCACATTCAGGGAATGGCACGGCAATTGCAGCCAGGCGTAATTCCTGCCTGGAATTCCTACTTGCCTGGAATTCTTACCTGTGATTTGTACCTGCCTGTGAGTCCTGCCTGTAATCCCTGCCTGTGATTCCTACCTGTGATTCCTACCTTTACTCTTTCCTACCTGCCTGTAATTCCTACCTGTGATTCCTGCCTGTAATTCCTACCTACCTGAAATTCCTGCCTGTGATTCATACCTGTAATTCCTGCCTGTGATTCCTACCAGCCTGTAATTCCTACCTGCCTGTAATTCCTGACTGCCTGTAATTCCTGCCTGTGATTCCTACCTGCCTGTAATTCCTACCTGTAATTCCTGCCTGTGATTCCTGCCTGCCTGTGATTCCTACCTGGAATTCCTGCCTATAATTCCTACCTGCCTGATTCCTACCTGTGACTCCAAGCTTTACTTTTTCCTACCTGCCTGTAATTCCTACCTGTGATTCCTGCCTGTCATTCCTGCCTGTAACTCCTGCCTGTAATTCCTGTCTGTAATTCCTGCCTGTGATTCCTGCCTGCAGCAGTGGGGCTGGAGCTGCTGTGTTTGAGGACGAGCTGGGGCAGCACATCCCGTGGGCGGCTGCCTGGCAGGGGAGCAGTGGGAATCAGGCACTCAGCACATCCCTGCCTCTGGCTGAGCAGCTGTGTGGGTGTGCACCCTTTGGGTGTCTCAGACTCGTTCATAAAGCTGAGGGTGTGAATAAACCTGAGCTGCCATGGCATGGTGCTCCTGCCGCTGCATTCACTGGCAGCAGGAGCTGGTGAGAGAGTGGGGCTGTGGATGCAAAAAACCTCAGTCCTCCTGCCATCTTTACCTTCTGCTTCCATCTCACTGGGAATCAAATGAATTTACGGTGTTTTAACTGGAGGATATTTTGATTGAAGTTTCTCTTTAGAAGGACAAATAAGTCTTGATCTTGTGATTAAGAAGGTACAATAAAGGAATTAAAAAAAGAGTTTGCTTACGGGGTGTATTCCACTGATGGCATATAAATTCAATATAAGTTTAAGACTCTGTCTTTCTTAATGTGGCACATAATTTCTCACACTTTTTTCTTTTTAGCAAGAAGAATGTTCTTTTATTTATCTTTAGATAAGTAGGTAAAAATTGATATAAATGAGACAAAAAAGAGTACTTACATTTGTAGTTTATTATTGTAAGTTTGCCATGATAGAAGGCTATAAAACACTGTTCTGGTGAAGAAAGTGACCAAAAAATAGCTTTTGATGAAAAGTAAATAGTGCGGGGAAAGGACATACTAAGTTAAGACCTCACCAAAAGAACAAAGCACCACGGAGATGTGTCTGGCTACAAGTACAGTGCAAAACCACAAAGCACTCTGATTAGCCAACTAGTCTGCTTCTTAGGTTTATTAAACAAGACAAGAAATTTAATAGAGAAATCAAGGTATTTGTAAAACATTAAAGGTGAAACTGCTTGCTGTTTACAACCAGCGATTTTTATGTTGTGTTTCATAAGAACTGCCTGACTCTGTCCAAAGCAGAACCAAAAAAAAAAAAAAAGAATAAAATAAATAAGAAATGGTGCATTGTGATCACAATCATAGGCTGTTTATATGTATGCTTCAAATTAAGGGTTTGGTGTCATGGAAACAGCTTTTTCATTTGGAAAGCTCTGCGGCAGTGTGAGAAGGAGAAGCCTGGAGAGGGCGAGAGGCAGAGGGAGCGCAGGAGCTTCCCCAGCATCCCCTATCCTCCCTCCCTCCCTCCTTCCCTCCCTCTCCAGAGACACGGAGCAGGAGGGCAGGGCTCCAGCGCTGCCTCACCTAGCCTGGAATAGTGCACAGCATTCCCCCTCTGCTGCTTGTTATCGGCAACACTGCTTGTGGATTATTTTGCAGTTAATGCACAGTGTAGTTCTGAACACTTTTTAAGTGAATTTTCTGCACTGAAGGAATGTGTGTGTATATGTATATATACACACACATATAAATAGATGTGTCATGTATTTTTGTAAATGGACTTTACCTAAATACAGTATTTATAATATCCACCAAAGCAAATGAGTCCAGAATTTCTATAAATACTGTTTGTTCAGTTCTGCTTGTGTACATATATGCATTGTATGTTTTGTGTAATTTTAGTGCTAGAAAGACATTCCCTGTTGCTCTACATCAAAGGAAAGCAGTCATTTGTGTAAAGAGCTTCTAAAATTTACCAGGAGAGAAACCTCTCCAATGAGTACTGCATTACAATAGATGGTCGGGAACTAACACCACCACTTGTATTGTCCTAACTTCCATGCCAATTTCTGCTCATTTTGTGGGCACAGTTCAGATTACTCAGTAATTGATTGCATTAAGCAGTAACAGGAGAGCTTTACAGGGACTAAATTAAGGGCATGTGCTATATTTCTGCTGTGTTGCTGTCATGAACATCACCAAGGAGCAGAAACAGACCAGTCTTGTAAAACAAATATTTTTTAAAGCATAGTGAAGTTAGATCTAAGATCCTGAGGTGGGATCATGTGAAGGTGGTGAAGATGTTCCCCAGTCCTTCACAAAGCTCAGGTTGGCATAATGGAAAGATCTGGTCACAGGGCAGTATGAATCCTTTGCTGCTTTCACGGTGTGGTCAAACCTGTCCCTTCCTTGGGCTGCCAGGGGAAAATGCTGCTCTGCTCTCCACCTAACTTCTCAACCCAGCCAGGTGTGAAAATTTTGGTGATTTGGGCATCTTCCTGTGATGCCTGGATCCTGGGAGACCTGTTAGACAAGTGGTTTAATTTCAAACCCAGGAGAGAGCTATGTCCCAGCCCAGGGGGAAATGCTGCCCACACCAAAGCAGGGCTTGAGGCTGGGGCCACCGTGCCTTTGGGAAGGGAAGAGCCACAGTGGCTTTGGAAAGGGAATAAAGAGCCACAGTGCCTTTGGGAAGGGAAGAGCCACAGAGGAACTGCCTCAGTGGCTGTAAGAGGGCAGTCCCAGGGCAATGGGAGAGTTGCAGAGCATCCATGGCATGGGTCTGGTTTCTAAGCTGCTTTCACTGAGCTTGTTTCCTGCCCTGTGCTCACCCCCAGAGGTGTCTGCCCATGGTTTGGCTTTCCTGGCAGGAGGAGCTTCTGTAGCCACTGCCTGTTCTCCAGTCTGGGCATGTGGAAGGGCAGGAGAGAAGTTTCAGGGAAAAAAAATCATATGTGTTTGTCAGAAAAAGATCACTTTGGTTTAAGCTTCAATTTACCTTCCCTGTACCTGAAAGAAATGGTGTTTCTCTTGGCACCAGAACTGAAAAATGAGTGGTCAGGTTTTTTGTGTGTGTTTCTTTTTTTAAAAAAATAATTTCCAGTTTAAGAAATATGCTAAAAAAGCAGCTGCCCTCACAAACAATCTAGGAGAAAGACAGAGGCTGCAATTCTGCCTGCTTTTGTTATGGTTCCTGCACTGGCCTGGAGATATTCCTGTTAATTCTGCTTAAGGAAGGATGCTTCTGGTGCAGCCATGAATTCTGCTGAATGGAATTCTGGTGAAGCAAAATCAACATGCAGCTTTGGCACTGGAGGTTCAGAAAGAAGAGTTGGGTGTTGCTGTGAGAGGTGCTCAGCACTGCAGAGGCAGCAGCTCGCTGGGAAGGCACTGCCTAACAAAACCAGCTCATTCTTGTCTGCTGTGCAGAAACAGGTGTGTTAAAGAAACTGGAGGTGGAGTGGTGATTGTGAGAAAGGTGTTAAATTCTCAGATGGAGAAAAAAAATCTCATTAATGTAGAGGAAAAATCCCAACAAACCTTTAAAATTATAGAAATCTTTGTCTTAGAATAGCGTAATAGGTAAGGTAGAAAAGCTTGAAATTCCTTTATTTAGAACCAGGCAATGGAGTGTAGTTTAGCTGAATAGTTCTGCTTCAGACTTTTGTTCCCTTTATTATCAGAGCAACATGAAAGGCATAGAAGCTTGGGCAGAAGAGAAATGACTGTGCAATCTTACTTCTCCTTGAGTTGGCCTTTGTGCATGACTTACTTCAGTGTTTTCAAAGGTACTGAGGAACAGGATGAAGAAGTGTGCATTTACATTTGTGGTATTATTCAGATCTGGAAGCAGCTCATTCAGTTCATCTGAGTTCCTCAGAGCTCAGTTCCTTCTGGATGGAGACCAGGGCTTCCATTGCTAATCCAGCACATCACATCAGACTAGACCATGCCTGAATACATCCCCACTCTCCATCCTCCCTGTTTTTTTAATAATGTGGCACTAAGTCCTCAGTTCGAAGTGTTTATCTCCACATACAACTTTTAATTGCAATTCAGACACAGCCTTAGGCAATGGAAATGCTTTCAGTTGCTACCCCACTGCTGCCCTTCTACATTTTTGGAAGATCTTTGGTTTCCCTCATTCAGAGGGGTGATAGTAGGTGCCCAGGAAAGCTTTTTTTTTCAGGAGAAAATGCCTGTTTAAATAGCAATTATTATTGGTAAGCGTTTGTGGTACAACCTTTTGCCTTCTCTCTCCTGAATATTCAATGCACAGAATTCCCCTGAGAGGCAGGGTGGTGAAGGAGCTGTCTAGACACATATGCTTTTGTGTGTTTTTCATCCAACTCAAAGGTGGGAATGCAAATTCTGGAACTTGGGGACATCCTGTGGCTTTGTAACTCTCTCCAGGAGAGAAGTGCTCATTCAGATGAATAGTTCTCACTCATTCACATTCCTCATTTACTCATGTAACATTTATAATCTGGGTAATGTTCCTCATTTTATAACAGCTCAGTGTAAGTTACAGACAGAACTTAGAGTCACACTTCCTTGTACTTCATTGTTTCATTTGAGGCTTTGCAGAGCTGTGCCAGGGGCAGAGCAGAGGCTGCTCTGTTGCAGTGGGAGCCCGGGGAATGCTGTGCTGCAGCAGACGTGAGCACTGGATTTCCTTCAGTGTGCACACAGAGGTGGCACAGGAGGAGGGGCTCAGCCCTCTCTGATCTCCCTCGATGCTTTGGTTTGCTCTGGGAGCTGAGCTTCCTCATGTTCCTGCCTCTACCTCTTCTATCCCTTTCCTGGGTCCTGCCTTTAGGGTTGGGAGCCAGCAGAAGCTATTCTGGTGATGCAGGGAGGCCACATTAGAGGAATACTTGTTGGAGAGTTTTGTTCAGACATGGCTTATGGAAAAAGGCCACGATCATATACAGCTGGTTAAGATGTAAAAGGCAGCTGTAAGCAGCAAGTTCTCAGGCTTTTTCCTTAAAAACAATAAACACTGTGTCCTTGGCTAAGTGATGAGAAAGGCATGGTGGAAAACATGGAGTCCTTGAGAGTGCTCAATAACAAGTCAACAGCAG